AATAGATACCAGAGGCCCAATGCGCCTGTATCGCTCACCTGGTATTAATATCACACTTGTAACCTTAAAATTGATCTAAAATAAAGCTACAGGCAAAATGTCAGTATTAAGTACTGCAAGTCATTCAAATGAACATGTTAAAAGATTTAAAAAACATTTTACCCCTGTGACCTTGAAAGGCAATTAGTTGTTTAAAGGTATTTTGTTTAGTCAAATGACCCCCTGTGACCTTGAATATGAGTGAAAGTCGTTAATATGAACAAACTTGGTAGCCCTTCATCCCAGCATGCAACTAGCCAAATATCATCACCCTGGGCTTTTTTGGTCATTCAAAAGAAGTTGTTTTAAGTTTTAACTCATTTGACTCCTGTGACCTTGAATATGGGTGGAGGTCATTTATTTGAACAAACTTCGAAGCCCTTCATCCCAGTTTGCTTCTGGTCAAATTTTTATATCGGTCTGTCGTCGATTAACGTCAGAACTCCGGCCCGCTAGAATATGCGGGAAATATGCGGCCCACGCCCGGAGCGCACTTCAAACTGATATTTTAGAACCAAATCGTCACTTTCACACACATGTCGCACATAGATCGAAAGATCTATTCTTTATGTACAAGATGAACATACATAACATGCCTCAAACAACCAATACAATCACTAAAAACATATTTTTTCAAACTTACTCTGTTTTACTCTAGCCTTCTAATGCCATGTGACTAAAATCTCGCCGGCCTACGTCATAACGTTGGGAAATACCTTCGGTAACGCGAGAACTCGTCAAGTCATGTGACATTGCTCATGTCATAATTCCCATTAAAAACATGGGTTGGTATAGAAAACGTTGGAAAATTCTGTTCGTAATGATCTTTGAAACATGTTATTGATACCACCTAGTGCATAAAGAATAGATCTTTCGATCCATGTGCGACATGTGTGTGAAAGTGACGATTTGTTTCTAAAATATCAGTTTGAAGTGCGACCCGAGAACGGGTCGCTTATTTCCCGCATATTATAGAGGGCCGGAGGTCTGACGTTAATCGACGACAGACCGATATAAAAAAAAAAGTCGATAAAACGTCAGAATAATTCGGACTAACTCACTTGGCCCTTCGGACCAGGTGAGCTAAATATACTAATATAAAAGGAGTGGTTTGGAAACCCATATCCAAGCTTGGTAATTACACATAAACAAGCCATTCGGATTGGTATGTCTCGCCAATGCCCTGCTTTGACAATCAACGCACATAAACTTAACACAAAAACTTAATGTTGATGGAGATGCTGACAAAGTCAATGGACCATGAAAGGTAGGCCGCATCCAGCATTTGATGCATGGGTTGAGATGTACTTCCTATCCAGCATTTGGTGCATGGGTTGAGATGTACTACCTAAGATGCATGTTTGCTCGGTGTAGCACTTATACTTTCAAAGAAACTAACTTAAACGCAATGATTTAATGTGGACTCCGCCGCCGTCGACGGAAAATCAACACTGTTATAAGCAGACATATAGCTGGTGCGACGCCACAAGACAAACAACGTCATTAAGGATGTACTCTTCTGAGGTTTCAGTCACGTTCAAGTCTCGTTTTGATCTGGTGTAACGGGTTTTTGTAATATTTAACAAATTATGATAAGTATAATAGCAAACACACATCTAAAAAACATGTAAAAAAACCTAGATGTCTGTTGTGCGTAGAACATTTTTTACAAGAATTTTTAAAAAATGACCAATTTGGCGGCCATTTTGAAAAAGTGTATTTATGTGAATTTCTTGCGCTTCACAAAGGGCCAAAATTCACCTTTTTTGACACTAGATTAATCACTTAAATTGTCATTGTGTCACCATTTTTAATTGTAGCAGGTTCAATTTTGCTGTACAACTTTATATTGTTCAATATGATCAAAATAATATGCAAAAAAGTGGAAAGTTATATATAATTGATATTTTTTTCACATATTAGGGTAACTGAAGCACTTTTGATTTTTGACCCCGAAAAAGGTGAAAAATAACACAAATAATAATGGGACAAAAAAAGAAGCACACCGACCCCCAATTTTTGTGGCTGTTTTAGAAAGAGAAACTCCTTTTCTTTCGATTCATTGAATACTAAAAAAAGTTTATTACAGGATTTTTTTTATATCAAGCGTTTAATCGGTGAAAAATGGTGAAAAATGTGCATTTTTTCATTAAAAAATAAGGGGTAGGGGTAACTAAAATCGCATTTTTGAGTAAAATGAATAAGTTTAAGACATTTTACTTCCATAGTTTCAAAGAAAATAATATTTTTATCAATTCTACAAACATTCATACATATCTGATAACACACTTGGAAGAAATTGTATGAATTTGTTCTGCCAATGGTCAAAACCCGAAAATTCACCTAAAATCACATATTGTGTTAAATTGGTATCTTTGACCGATCATAGCACAAAAACGAACACACCGACATATAGTTTTTTTTTGCATTTTCTACTATGCCATTATCTCCTTTTTCCAAAAATCAATATAAGAAAAAAAGTTTAATACAGGAATTTTTTGACTTCTCAGAGGTGTACATCCTTAAGGGGTTTTCTGATGTAACAACGATATATCTAGACTCCTGGAGAACATCTGAAGAGATGAAAGACCTCGAGAAGATGCCTTTGTTTAGGCTTTAAATCATTTAATAGGTTACATTCTGCACAAACAATTTTACTGTGTTTTTGCTTCAGTCACGTAGTAAATGTAAACATACAGGAAATACTAAACAAAAAGGCTTAAAGACGTGTCATTTTTCCGTATCCTAGTCTTCCTTTGCATTCGATTACTTTCTATTGTAGTGAATACTGCCATCGCTTCCAGCAATAAGCAGGCTGTTAACACTGTTCATGCGAGATCTGGGCCCGCATTCAGGAAACAGCATTCTCATGCTCCATCTCGGATTCTATGTTCAAACCTAAATGCCTGCTCTGGATATAAATCAATTAACTATTACATTTTGTCAGTGATTTGGAAGAATGCCGAATACCGTGTTAAATGTTCACACTTCACTTTTACACGGTGTCACATGGTTTGAACACAAAATCGATGTTTGAGCATGAGGACGGTTTCGTGAATATGGGTTCTGTTCCTTATGCAATGTGCCACAATACGGAAGCACAAGTACCTGTTTGTCCAGAGTAAAAACTGTCACACCCTCGAACAGTGAATATCAATAACTTTTTTCTCCCGTTTTACAATTCAGACTGAATTTCACTGTCATAAACTCAAATGATTGTGTGTTTGCATGTTTCAAAACATTGGTTCCTTGCATGCACTGTCAACGTTTCCGTTCTTGAAAATACTATACGAGTAGGATTATGTTTCGTGAAGTCGGTAACTCGCAATGAATTTCATTTATTGGTTTTTTTTTTGTTATTTTTGTTGCTGTTGTATTACCATCAATTTGTTAAAAATCACCATTTGGAAACTGAAAGGATTTTCCGAAGAAAATTTGAATATCTTCTTTTAGGAACAGTTTTTAAAAGTTCAATACATATTTGACTTCTTTAGCAAAAAAGGGTTACCTTTGATGTAAGGCTTACAGTGTATGTTTGTGCAATCATTACCATCAAATGTTACAGATATTAATATATATCCTCAATGTTTCCGGTAAATATTTGACGATCTGTATCAACCATTATAAAACTGAAATTATTAAAACAGTGTTCTCGAGAAGATACTACTATACCCATAACAAGTGGTTTATCTTCAAATCATTTAGCGGAGGCATTTTTATTTAAATGATATTTTACCTTGAAAATTGATGAAATAATTTTGATGTTTTGAAGTTATTACGGATGGTTTTGGATTAGATTTCTTTTCATCTTCAAAAGTTTCTTCCTTGTTATACTTTATCAATTATAGGTTATCCGTCATCTAAATGTATTTTTTTATAGAATTCTTCGACCATTATTACAATTGCGCCGCGTTTTACAGCGGTTTCCCCGACGCCTGGAAACGTTTGTTTTAAAAGAAAATCTCCTTTAATGAGATTTTTCCTTATAACTCCAGGAATACTTTCTTTTTGTAAGAAAATGTTCCTGAAACGCGGCTTCACGACATGACAAGGTCAGTCCCATTGTACAAACAGTTGATACTCAAAACAAACTAATCATTCTTTGCATACGATGAGAACCTCTAGTAAAGCACGAGAGATCGTAACGCCATCAGCATGTATGAATGTTTCAAATGCATTAGTCGGTGTTTGTGTACTGAAAGTGTATATTTTATTTGCAATGTTCTTTTTTTATTTAATTGTAAACGTATTTTGTATCAACTTTTAGAACTATGTCAGTTTTATGATTTTTAATACGATTGTTGACAAATCGAATAATGCGCCATAATTTGCCCTACTGTTATGAATTTTGTGACTCGAGCTCGGATAAGAATTCAATATTTAAAACTTCTTTAATTTTGAAAATGTGATACGTTAGACAGTTAACATCAAACATAGGCCAACGAGGAAGGAAGTAATTATTAGAAACTGGCCTCAATACATGAATACACAGCCTGTGAGTGTATTTCGACAACGTCAAACTAGCTTACTGCTATGGTAATGTATCTTGGACAAGTAACACTAGCCTACTACTTAAATGACAGGTTGAAGGTTCGTGTGCGTCAACTGCTCAACGATTACAAAAACTTCAGTAGAAATAAGTTTCAAATTTCTTTAACGTTGTTTACGATGCTTGTTGAATCCTTGTTAGTAAATTTTCACATTTAAATAGAAAAAGATCTTAAGTGATTTTTTTTCCCATTTGAGAATTTACCAACAAGATTTAGATACACAGGATAAACGTGTAACTGGCTGCAGAACCTATATTTAATATTAGTCAATGTGACCAATCCATACTTTCATCATGAAAATGACCACAGGACTGAGTGATATTATGTCAACTTTTTCCTAACATACTGTAACAGTGTGTAATAAGGTTTCAATACTATGTACATTGTCTTCATAAAAACAAATGAAAAATACAATATTTACAAATTTAATGTTTTATTTCACATTTCAAATAAGCCTTCATTTTCTTCCTAGTTTAACAATTCACAGCTACTTTGATCAGCACATTCCGCAGCGATACACTGTACAAACTACATTGTCACACCACAGCTTATAGATAATCCATCACAAGTTACAGTGTGGGATAGACAAATTGAAACACTGAGGTTTTTGTTTTGTCAAATTTCACCATGGTCGTCCAAATCTAAACCCCTTTACTGGGAATCGTCCACATGGCACTGTAAGTAGTGATAGATGATTTCACACACATTACTGAATACCATTTCACCGAAAGCTGCTTCTGTCTGTTTTTATAAGCGGGAATATCACAGAATTAACAATTCCTAAATAGAACTTGAAGTTACCATTTTAGGAGAAGTATGGTTCTGCTGTGAAACTTTAAGCAATCCGGTTTGGCCGACCAAAGACAGCAGTGATCTCTTACACTCCGTACATTTAGAATGTTTCAAATGCAACAAAACCTTAGGTGTCAAAAAAGTTTGATCATGATACAATGGCCTGAACATCTATTTCAAATAATGGTCAAAGTAATCCCAATTTATTCAATGAAGATATTTTCATTGCATTCCATACATTCAGGACATTCTCACAAGATAACAATGGCGCACAATGAATTCACAACAGTCTCAAATTGTATTCATCAGTCCAATCTAAGAGTGTGGACCAAGTCTGATGTTATTATAATACAGCTGACTTTTCCATACAATCGGATTTAATATACAGCTGACAGTCCTGATCAGTGTTACAGTTACATAAAAACATTAATATTCACACAACACCAAGATGTTGAGAATTGGGAGCACTCGTGCCATTTCCTGTACACAAAATATCACTGAATACTGCAAACCCAACTCATACTTTGTGTAGCTTCTTGAGATTCTGAACACACTTCTTGCATTAAGTATTCAATCAACACTTGGAGCAGACTATTTGTAAACTATATATGTAAGCATGGTAACAGAATTATTATTTTTTTACATATGAAGGACTGCCTGTCTTTAATCTGTTGTCACTATCTTCTTTATAAAATGTCAGACAAAAAGAAAAAAGAAACACTTTCTGTTCAGTCACACTTGATAAGATCTTCAGGCTGTTTGGCTCAGCTGATTTCCATTTAGTCTGTGATTAACAATACTAACATACAGAAGCAGGTATTCATTGTACAATATTCACATCCATCCAATACTTTTGTAACACAGTTGCAGTGTCCATCCAACATGCTTTGGAGCAGCACCGTGGGAAAATCGTCTTGTGGTATGTATATATATATAGCTCACAGATGTGTATGTAACCTACCTGTATACATAGCTACACCACTAACATCAGGCCTTATGCCCAGACAGTGACACTATGTCCTGGCTACATCACCACTAACATCAGGCCTTATGCCCAAACAGTGACACTATGTCCTGGCAGTCCTGTTGGGACTAACCATTGTGGTCCTATCTATGTAAGAAGTAGCCTGGTCCTCTGAATGGACTAGCATTAGTGGTCCTTAGTAGGGTAAGCTTCACTACCCTTACTGCAGGGAAAGTACACAAATGTGTCTCAAAGGACAGTAAAACATCCACAGGAAACATTTACATTGTTACAACATTTAAAATCCACTTGTAAATGTATGTTTCTCTCTCAGGACTCCTCCTGCTCCAGGTCCTCCTTAGCCTTGTCCACCTCCTCTGCCTGGTCAATGCTACCATTTTCTGATACGACATCTTTGTCCTTAGCTTTGGATTTCTTCTTTGGCTTGTCTGCTTTGTCTACCTTCTCTGTGTCAGAGCACGGGGCAGGGGAGCAAACTGGGGATTGTTGTTCTTCCATGTCGTCATCTGTAAGAGACAACACAGACCTCAGTCAGAACAGATGTCGCAATCACTCACACACAACGCTAGAACCACTACAACACACATTAGCTCATTTCACAGATGTTACTTTAAAAAACAATCATGTCATTGTGATGACCACACTTTCAAATTATTATTTCACCAAACATCAAAATTATTCCAAATTAGCACTTAAATAACACAAAGTGGAGTTACTGGTAAAAACAGGAGATAAACAATTGTACAAAGGAGGAGCAGTGACCAGGTCAAGTCAGAGTCAGCAGAGGTTTTGGGTCAGGTGTCCGTTCTGTTTACCTATGTAGGCCTCATCATAGGCTGGCTGCAGCCATTTCACCTTGTTCTTACATACAAACCAATGTTACGTCATGCATTTAATGTCTGTCAAAAGTACAGTAACTTTATTTGCATTTTACTATTGAAAAAAAAAAAAAGTGAAAAAGTGAAGTCTGTAAAACAGGGACAAAGGCTTAGGAAAGGAATATTGTATGGTGACTGTCAAGACACACAATGGTGATTAAGAGGTGAAAGTTGGCATTATTGTATAATAAAGAAAGTTGAGAATAGAAATGCTAGCTTTTATGATGACAAGAATCCACCAGAAGGTGTATATTTTGTTTGGTAATGGGAAATGTTCAAACAAAGAGACAGATTTGATTGGGAATTTTAAAAGTAGATAGCTTAACATGGCTGGGGTGACGAGGGTAGAGGATGACATTAATTAAAAGGTCTGGTGTTATACAGGAAGAATCACTTAATAGGTCTGGTGTTACATGGGTAGAAGGGGAAAGGTGTGTGTCAATGAACAGGTCTGAGGAGATATGGGTGGACCTTAAAATGTCTGGTGAAGCTAGGATAGAGGGGGCAAGTCAACAGGTCTGGTGTACCTAGGGGTAGAAGGGTATCACAAAACAGGTTTGGTGTAGTAAGGAAATAGAGGGTAAGTTAACAGGTCTGGTGTAGATAGGGTAGAGGGGGTCACTTAACAGGTCTGATGGAGCTAGGGTAGAGGGGGTCACTTAACAGGTCTGATGGAGCTATATAAGGGAAGAGGGGTTCACTTAACAGGTCTGGTGTAGCTAGGGTTGAAGGGTTCACTTAACAGATCTGGTGTAGCTAGGGTTGAGGGGTTCACTTAACAGGTCTGATGTAGCTAGGGCTGAGGGGTTCATTTAACAGATTTGATGCAGCTATATAAGGGTAGAGGGGTTCACTTAACAGGTCTGGTGTAGCTAGGGTTGAGGGGTTGACTTAACAAGTCTGATGTAGCTAGGGTTGAGGGGTTGACTTAACAAGTCTGATGTAGCTAGGGTTGAGGAGGTCACTAAACAGATCTGATGTAGCTAGGAACCTAGGGTAGAGATGGACCATGCTCAAGGATTATGGGTAGAGAAGGGACACTGAACAAGTCTTTGGTCAGAGTGACAAGGATAGTGGATAATGTCAGTCAACAAAATTGTTCTGGCTAGGGTAAAAGGGGATCGGGTATGGTGTAGATAGGGTAGAGGGGACAATGTACAGGCCTGGTGTAGGGGGATAAGGTTTGGTCTAACTAGCGTGGAGAACAAGCTTAAGTAGATTGATGAAGGGATAAAGGACTGATAGAAAAAGACGTAAGAAATTGTTAGTTAAGAAAACTGAAATCTATCTAACTAAAATGAGGACTACATAAATGGGTTATATAGAGTTAATCTTCCATAAGAGTTGCAAGGTAAGTGTCTACAATAGGTGTTCTGTGGTAAAACAGTGGCGTGCCCGACAAAAGCGGATTGTTTCTGCTGCTATAGTGGCAAGTGGCACAGAAGGTCTACTTGCAAAAAAATGGGAGAAAAACATTAATAAATGTCCAACTTTAATTTAAATTCAAAATCTTGGTGTGAAGGGCATTTTTGTAGACTTTTGAACCAGTTCGCTTATGTGTAGTTCCAATAATTCGACAGGGGAGGTAACTATGCAGTAACCAAACACTTGTGACCCCAGAGATGTAAAGCACAACATTTATGTCTATATACTGTGTGCCCAAGCAAAGCAACAAAGTGTGCAAAACCCTCACAAACATTATCTATGTTCAACCATGACTTTTATTATATTGTTGTGGCATTTGTTTGGTTGCAGGGCACTTGATCAATGCACTTATATGCGTGTCAATCCCTGTGCATAGAAGTGTTATGCTGGCAAGTTCAAAGAGAATGAAAGAAGCTGCCAAGCCAAGTTTGATCCTAATAACCTATTGGTTCAGTAATAGTTATGGATATTTGATGTATGATAGGCTGTAAGGTTTGATTGGCTGCTCTTAATGAGCCATTGCAGTCACCGTTTTAAACTCCCTTTCAAAAAAGGAATTCCTGTTTTAGTCCATAAACAATCTTTAAACTCCTAACACTTTTTCTTTCATAATGGATTGGAATTTTAAAAGCAACATATAATTAACTTTATCCTGTTAAAATGGAAAATAACTGCCCGACGTGGGGTAGTTATTGTGATGGACAATAAAATCAGAGGCTTTGTTGACAGCTACATCAACATCAAAGAAGACTTCCCATTCGGCACCTTTCATGATTGCTGCGAGTTTGTCTAAAGTCAAGAATGAAGCATATCAAATGTAGATTACATTTGTCTGACTAATATTGGAATGCAACTGCCACTACAGAAGAATGGTATATATGGCTTGTGATTCATATGGGGTGTCATTAAAATATCTTCATTATTTTATGATTTGAACATTAAAAAGAAAGTATATATTTTGACTCAATCATTTATTGTGATTTTGCAAGCAGGTCCTAAATATTATATAGCACTTCAAAGTTAAGTCCATATTTATTTGTGATGTAAACTTGACCAGGAAATCAATGAAAGGAAATGTGAAGCTATACAAACTCCACATACCTGTATCAGGCCTAGTAAAGATCAATGAAAGGAAATGTGAAGATATACAAACTCCACATACCTGTATTGGTCTAGTAAAGATCAGTGAAAGGAAATGTGAAGATATACAAACTCCACATACCTGTATCAGGTCTAGTAAAGATCAATGAAAGGAAATGTGAAGATATACAAACTCCACATACCTGTATTGGTCTAGTAAAGATCAGTGAAAGGAAATGTGAAGCTAAACAAACTCCACATACCTGTATAAGGTCTAGTAAAGATCAATGAAAGGAAATGTGAAGATATACAAACTCCACATACCTGTATAGGGCTAGTAAAGATCAGTGAAAGGAAATGTGAAGATATCCAAACTCCACATACCTGTATAGGTCTAGTAAAGACCAGTGAAAGGAAATGTGAAGCTATACAAACTACACATACCTGTATAAGGTCTAGTAAAGATCAATGAAAGGAAATGTGAAGATATACAAACTCCACATACCTGTATTGGTCTAGTAAAGATCAGTGAAAGGAAATGTGAAGCTATACAAACTACACATACCTGTATAAGGTCTAGTAAAGATCAATGAAAGGAAATGTGAAGCTATACAAACTCCATATACCTGTATAAGGTCTAGTAAATATCAGTGAAAGGAAATGTGAAGCTATACAAACTACACATACCTGTATAAGGTCTAGTAAAGATCAGTGAAAGGAAAAGTGAAGCTATACAAACTCCACATACCTGTATAGGTCTAGTAAAGATCAATGAAAGGAAATGTGAAGCTATACAAACTCCACATACCTATATTAGGTCTAGTAAAGATCAATGAAAGGAAATGTGAAGATATACAAACTCCACATACCTGTATAGGGCTAGTAAAGATCAGTGAAAGGAAATGTGAAGCTATACAAACTCCACACACCTGTATTAGGTCTAGTAAAGATCAGTGAAAGGAAAGGTGAAGCTATACAAACTCCACATACCTGTATCAGGCCTAGTAAAGATCAATGAAAGGAAATGTGAAGATATACAAACTCCACATACCTGTATTGGTCTAGTAAAGATCAGTGAAAGGAAATGTGAAGCTAAACAAACTCCACATACCTGTATAAGGTCTAGTAAAGATCGATGAAAGGAAATGTGAAGCTATACAAACTCCATATACCTGTATAAGGTCTAGTAAATATCAGTGAAAGGAAATGTGAAGCTATACAAACTCCATATACCTGTATAAGGTCTAGTAAATATCAGTGAAAGGAAATGTGAAGCTATACAAACTCCACACACCTGTATTAGGTCTAGTAAAGATCAGTGAAAGGAAATGTGAAAGTTAAGTCCATATTTATTTGTGATGTAAACTTGACCAGGGAATCAATGAAAGGAAATGTGAAGCTATACAATCTCCACATACCTGTATCAGGTCTAGTAAAGATCAATGAAAGGAAATGTGAAGATATACAAACTCCACATACCTGTATTGGTCTAGTAAAGATCAGTGAAAGGAAATGTGAAGATATCCAAACTCCACATACCTGTATAGGTCTAGTAAAGACCAGTGAAAGGAAATGTGAAGCTATACAAACTCCACACACCTGTATTAGGTCTAGTAAAGATCAGTGAAAGGAAAGGTGAAGCTATACAAACTCCACATACCTGTATAAGGTCTAGTAAAGATCGATGAAAGGAAATGTGAAGCTATACAAACTCCACACACCTGTATTAGGTCTAGTAAAGATCAGTGAAAGGAAATGTGAAGATATACAAACTCCACATACCTGTATTGGTCTAGTAAAGATCAGTGAAAGGAAATGTGAAAGTTAAGTCCATATTTATTTGTGATGTAAACTTGACCAGGAAATCAATGAAAGGAAATGTGAAGCTATACAAACTCCACATACCTGTATAAGTTCTAGTAAAGATCAGTGAAAGGAAATGTGAAGATATACAAACTCCACATACCTGTATAGGTCTAGTAAAGATCAGTGAAAGGAAATGTGAAGCTATACAAACTCCATATACCTGTATAAGGTCTAGTAAATATCAGTGAAAGGAAATGTGAAGCTATACAAACTCCACATACCTGTATTAGGTCTAGTAAAGATCAGTGAAAGGAAAT